TGGCAGCCTCGCCAAGGAAACCCATGATTACGGACGCCATTCACATACGCACTGAGGAGGAGCATGGCCGTCCGACTGAGCAGATGGTTCAATATGGGAACGAGCTCAGAAATTATGTGATGTGCCGCCGGAATCGTTTTGTTCGGCTGCAGGCTCGGATTCGACACCATTGGCTTCGAGCTGACAACCCGCATTCTGAATCCGATGGCGACGGACAGACAGCCCCGAGCCAAGCGGAGCGCAAGTTCAAAGAACTCGTTGATCGTTTTTTCAAAGATTGGAATGGCCCTCTCTGGGATGATTCTGGAATCACGATGTTCAAATTTACTGGGGACACGCGATCGGAGGACGCCATAATTTCGGACATGGCGTTGAGTGCGCGTTCTTTTCTGTATGGCAAGATACCAGCGACACCTGCTGCAAATAAGTGGACCAAGTTGGGACCGTGCGTTGATGCCATCGTGGTCGCTGAGCTTGCGCGCGGAACGATGGTCAAGTAGATGGCGAGATTGTCTGTGAAAGATGGGACGCTCCAAGAAGGAGTCGACATGAACGATATGGACGAACAATTTCGGAAAGACGTCGCTTTCGCTGCTGTCTGCGGGAAGCGGTACAAGGATTCCAACGATTGGTTGAAGGACGGCGCCACGAAGATCACCCTGGTCATGCTGGCTTTGATGCTGGAACCGCTGCGCTACCTGACTGGATTTTGGATGAAAGCGGCATCGGACCTTGAGGGCCCCTGCAGACCTCCACGGTTGATGGACGTGGTATACCCACCATTTGATCCTACCCTGCACGCTCTGCAATATTTGGGTTCTATGTTGAGTGGTAACGTCAGTCGGCTGATCTTGGTTTGGCGGACCGCTGGGTGTGAGACCTTCCAGATGTGGTGCCGACAGTGTAAGGGGCAAGTGCGGCGTCTGCGGCGCTGCTGTCTATTGACGGCTTGCTGGCTGTATCGGAGACACCTGCTGAAGTATGACCGATACCCGTGGCTTTTGGCGACCCTGGCAGATACACGCAGGCCCGAGGCTGAACGTGAAGCAGTCGCCTCGAGGTTTCTGAATACGCAGTCTTGCTGCCTGCGCGAGGGAATGGCGCGCAAGTTGAAGGCGCACTTGGAGCAGGGCAGCGCGACGGCCCGAGACATGTTGCAGGGTACCTGGATGCACATTTGGTTTTACTTCGCAGTCCTGGTCACCATGCAGGTGGCCGACATCGAGTGGCGACACGGCCGCAATCGTTCCCGATCCAACAAGCACGGCCAGACCAGCGTGAGCCAGTTCACCGCGAAGTATATCGGCTGCGAGGCCAAAAACTTACACGCCGCGCAGGTCGCGCGCATCAGGTTAACTCACGACCGCTCCAAGAAGGCGCTGGCAGACGACCCGCTCGAGCCACCTGGCTCGCCTGGCGGGCGCGACGTGGGCGAAGGGGGCGAGAACAACACTTTGTTGCGGACGCCCTCTGCGTTTATGTTGTGGAGGAAGGAGGCGATCCGCCGCGATCGCCAATTAGGATCACAAGTGAACCCTGCCTCCGAGCTTGATTGGGCAGCCCGCCGCAACGAGTGGGCCTCTTTGACCGCGGAGGAGAAGCGGACCTACGAGGAGGAGTCCGAGAAGTTGTCTCCCATCGCTAAGCGGAACCGTGATTTGAGAAGAGAGCAGGCTCGCGCTATTCAGCGGGCTCGAGTTGCGGAGATTGGGAATTTCATCCACGGCGTCGGCGCGGGCGCCGGGCAGGCGGCGCGGGGCGACCCAGGTCTGCTCTCTCGGGTTTACAAACATCCACCAATTCTCACGCATAATGTAACCTGCACCTTGTCGGGGAGGGGGAGTGTGATAATACCAGCCAACTTCACGCCAACACTCGTGCCATATAAGCCCAATGCCAAAGTGACGGCAAAGAAATAGCATGACAAGTTGGGGGTTGGAAATAGGGGGAAGACGAGGAGAAACGCGAGGAGGAGGGACTGTGGACAACGTCGCTGCCAAAAACGGTTGTGGCGCGAATCTGCCGCTTTACGCCCCGGGCCGAGCCAGAAAATTCATCGGTTAGGGGGGGGGGGGGCCAGGAGGCAGGAGGCGAGGGGGAGGATGGGGTTCTATAGCACAATCCAATGCGGGGCACCAGCCACGAACATCCCCCAATCAGTGCTAGCATTCAGGGACTCGTATGTCGCAGAAGATTTGGATGGTCTGGCCAGGTATCGCCCCGTTGCCGCCCGTGCTGCCTCGTGCGATGCAGATGCAATCAGTTTGCGCCCACTGTTCAAGCTTGCGCCCTGTTCCTCCTCCTCCTCCTCCTCCTCCTCCTCCTCCTCCTCCCTCTTCCTCCTCCTCCTCCTCCTTTTCCTCCCCCTCCTCCTCCTCCTCCTCCTCCTCCTCCTCCTCCTCCTCTTCCTCCTCCTCTTCCTCCTCCTCCTCCTCCAGGTGCGCGGCTTGCACTTGATGATGGCGTCGTTGGGGGCGGCCGCGTAGCAGTGGCCAGCGCAGACAGGCGTTGCTCGTGCATGCTTGCGCCCAGCACGGGCGGCGCAGAGGGGGGGGTCCACGGGGCGTCGCCTTGGGCCCACCAGCCTCGGTACCATTCGCTGAACATATCCAGCGGCTTCTCCGTGGAAGGCGAATGCCTTCGGGCTGGGAGCGTGCTGCAGGCAGCTGTTACCGCAGAGAGCCGATTGCAGGAGGAGACGGCGTCTGCCCCCCTGTCGGGGGACAATTTGGAGTTTTTGCGAAGCCAGCGACGTGAACATGGGAGTGCGCGGCAGGCTGCGCAGACCTCCACGAAGAAAGCGAACACTTTCGTCAATCCCGAGGCCCCGCCGTTCCCAAACGAAGTGACTTATCCTGAGTGCTGCCCATATGGGCTCTGTACGAAGCAGCTGTCACCCCAGGAGACGAGGTTCTTCAATGATTTTCGGGCCTGTCTGGATGCCATCGCCCGCTCATTCGGAAAGCCTGCGCCCGCTTGCCTCGCACAAGCCGACGTGGTCCTCGGCATGTTCGTGCATCAGGACCGGGCGAAAGAAGCCGACGATGTCTTGTACGTGTCCTTCCCCGCCGCGTCTTTCCAGGCTGGCCGCGTTGCACCGTCGCAAACGTTCGTGGTTTGGAGCACAGGGTCGGCTTCCACCGGGCAGGACGATTGCGTGGGTATCCATCTGAAGATTGCGTACAATCAGTTCCAGCGACCTGGTAAGAAGGTCCGCGCTCCTTTGGATCAGCAGGTGCAGGGTTCCCCCAAGATGCTGACAGAGCATGCGCTCTACGCTCGGTTGCGATGCCTGCTCCCTGATGGCGATGATCTTTTGGATGGGCCAGTATTTGATGCGCTCATGATTCGGAAAGCGAAATACGATGACATCACCATTGAGGAGATTGTCATCCAGGGATGGGACGAGGAGTTTGGCACGAAGGCTGTGCTGGCGAACCATGTTGTCCCGAAGGGGAAGAGGCGCAAGACCGATGGCGTCGACTTCATGGACCTGCTGGCGCCGCCCCGTGCTCGGCGGAGCGATCAACCAGGCTGTGGATCTGCCGCGAGTTCGTCTACCCATGCGCCCGTTGCCGCCGCCCCCGTTGATCCACCGGGCAGCGTGGATGCCCACGAGAATTTGGAACATGTGATTGGCTTGGCGAATGGAGCTGCCGACGAAGCTGCTGCTGAGGTCGCTGACGTTCATGCCGACGACCACGAGCTGCAGGGCATCATGCATCCAGACATCGCTGATATTTTCGGTGTCTTGGAGGCGGCAGAAGGGTGCGCCGATGACGAAGAAGACGCTCACACTGAATCCGATGCACTGCCATCTGCTGATGAGCAGGAGGTAGGAACAGATGAGCCTGCTCCTTCAGGGCCCCCTGGCCCAGGGCCATCTGAGCCATCTGTGGCGCCGCCGCCAGCACCTGCCGCACCTGCCCCGCCAAATGAGAGACAAGAGCTCCTATCACGGGTGGGTTTAGCAGAGCCGTCAAGAAACCGATTTTCATTTTCAGACGACGGTTCAGTCTCGGGCGTGGTGTACACAATTGGTGGCAAGGGCGTTAAAGCAACTTGCCAGCACCACCATAAGAAGGCTTGTAACATGTACCTCACCATTAGGGAGGGGGAGCCCGTCGAGGAAATCGAGCTCCGCTGCATAGAGTGGCTCGGCAATGCAAGAGGCCTGCCGTTAGAGCGCCACATGGACAGAGCGCGCGAGGTGAAGATCTCGCGGGGCATGCGCCCTCGGACTTAGAAGTTGGCTCAGCTTTGTTGTCCATGCCATGCGGAAACCTCCCATATCTAGGTAAGGTAGTTGGGAGTTGCTGGCAAAATCCTCCCAGGTAGCTTCGTCGGGGGGCGCAAGCACGCACGCAATTCAGAAGTTATGATGCTGTTATCTCCTGGCTGCCCTTGCATGCTGCATCCTTGTCCATGGGGCCCATCTTTCACCAAGCAATGTGGTGCGAGGTGTTGCCGCATTTGTCCCGCAGGTGTGTGCGTTCATGGGGTCGTCGCCCCATTGTTTTTGTCAGGGGGAGGCTGCCTGCCACAGCGTTCCAGGGAAGCGGCCGGGCGGGGCAGCCGCCCGACGGCCAGAGAGGAGGGCGCATTCTTTCTATTCTTGTAATATCATAGCCTTGCCCCTTGCCTGCAGTTTTTTCCCGGAAAGGGCAAAGGCCCAGGGTTCTCTTTTAGTATGTAAACAATGCCCCCCCGTGCCCAACTTGAAGGAGGCCGGCGGATTCTTTCCCTGATAAATATCGAGGTCGAAGGAGGCCGGCGGATTAAAATTTGAGGATGTCTCAGGCGAAACGCTTGTTTTTGAAATCCCGACCGATAAATCACAGGGTGCGGGCCACTTTTTCGTGCGTTGAGGATGTCTCGAGCGAAACGCTTGCTCCGCAGGGTGTCACAGGGGTGCTAAGACCCAGCACGACCACACCCCAGCACGACCACACCCCAGCACGACCCCACCCCAGCACGACCACACCCCAGCACGACCACACCCCAGTACGACAAGCACGACCACACCCCAACACTACCCCACCCCAGCTTGACCCCACCCCAGCACGACCACACCCCAGCACGACCACACCCCAGCACGACCCCACCCCAGCACGGCCCCACCCCAGCAAGACCACACCCCAGCACGACCACACCCCAGCACGACCTCACCACAGCACGACCACACCCCAGCACGATCACGCCCCAGCACGACCACGCCCCAGCACGACCACTCCCCAGCACGACCACCTCCCAGCACGACCACGACGACGACGACGACGACGACGACGACGACGACGACGACGACGACGACGACGACGACGACGACGACTACGAGGGGGATCCGCCCAGGGGGCGGCGACAGGCAACCACTCAACCGATGCAGCCACGGACTCCCTGTGTGTTTGATGAGTGGCGCCCGTACCGTTGCGTGCGTTACGCGTCTCCTCGTGGTTGTCCTGGTTGAGTGGTTGCCTGTCGTTGCTCGCGGTGCTAAATCACAGGGTGCGGACCACCCCAGCACGACCTCACCACAGCACGACCACACCCCAGCACGACCACGCCCCAGCACGACCACGCCCCAGCACGACCACGCCCCAGCACGACCACCCCCCAGCACGACCACCCCCCCAGCACGACCACACCCCAGCAAGACCACACCCCAGCACGACCACACCCAGTCGCACCCCCGTGGAATGTTTCGTGGGGTGTCTCGTGGAATGTTTCGTGGGGTGTCTCGTGGAATGTTTCGTGGGGTGTCTCGTGGAATGTTTCGCGGGGTGTCTCGTGGAACGTTTCGCGAGGTGTCTCGTGTAATGTTTCGCGAGGTGTCTCGTGGGATGTTTCGCGGGGTGTCTCGTGGGATGTTTTGTGAGGTGTCGCCCAGTTGGGTATCGTGAAAACGTGACCATGCTGCGCATGTCTATATCCCTTTCCGGGTTCGTGGGTCCATCATGTTTTTCGGGAAGGCGGGAGAGGAGGAGGAGGAGGAGGAGGGGGAGGAGGAGGAGGAGGAGGAGGAGGAGGAGGGGAAGGAGGTGGAAAAGGAGGAGGAGGAGGAGGATCTGGAAAAGGAAGAAGGAGATGAGGCAGAGTTGGATGATGATGATGATGATGATGATGATGATGCTGATGCTGATGCTGATGATGCTGATGATGATGAAGAAGATGATGCTGGCGATGATGATGATCGTGATGATGATGATGATGATGATGGTGGTGCTGATGATGATGAGGGTGCTGATGATGATGATTATGATGATGATGCTGATGATGATGGGATGGTGATGGTTATGGTTATGGTGATGGTGATGATGATGAGGAGGGGGAGGAGGAGGGGGAGGAGTGCCCTCTGCCGCCTCTGCCGTCCTTGAGTGCGTTTGGCATGAAATCCCAAGAGTTTCGAGTGGTATGTTACTAACTTCGGCCAGGTTTGCGCCTGTGTTGAACAATAGGCGTAAACATACATACCCATCGTTGTGCGCGTTCTTCCCTCATCCTCCCTTCCTTCTCCCCCTTCCGCCCTGATCTTCTGCCCCCCCTGTCCCCGGGCTTCCGTTGCAGGGGAACGGGATGAATGCCGATTGCGAAAATCCCCGAGGCCAGCAAGCCCCGCAAACAGCGTTGTCAACAAATATTACCCTCCAAGGTTGTCCTGCGAATGTGGCCGAAATTCGGGCCGCGAGTCCTGGCAGACACCGAAGGGACGAGGAGGATAATGGAGAAATGGGGGAAAGGAGGAGGAGGTCGGAGGAGGAGGAAAAGGAGGAGGAGAAAAGGAGGAGGAGGAGGAGGAGGAGGAGGGTCAGCAGGAGGAGAAGGAAAAGGAGGAGGAGAAGGAGGAGGAGGAAGGAGGAGGATGTGGAAGAGGAAGAGGGGGATGAGGAAGACTGGGAGGAGGAGCAGAAGGAGGAGGAGGACGAGGAAGAGGACACACAGGCAAGTGTGCCAGAAGGCACACAGGCAAGGAAGAGGAGACTCGGAGAACCCGTGCAGCGACCTATTCTAATTTTTTTTAGAATAGGTCGGACGAGCGGCCACCAGAGGAGGTCGAGCGTGCCCAAGGGGGGGAAATCCTCGGATGGCGGAGGAGGGGGAGGAAGAGGAGGAGGAGGAAGATAAGGAGGAGGAGGAGGCGGAGGAGGAGGAGGAGGAGGAGGTCGAGCGTGCCAAGGAAGAGGAACCCGTGCAGTGACCTATTCTAATTGTTTTTAGAATAGGTCGGACGAGCGGCCACAAGAGGAGGTCGAGGGGAAATCTTCGGATGGAGGAGGAGGGGGAGGAGGAGCAGGAGGAGGAAGAAGATAAGGAGGAGGAGGAGGAGGAGGAGGAAGAGAAGGAGGAGGGCAATCTGTCACGGTTTCCGCCGGCAACTCTAGGCTACGCTACTCCTGATCGGCTCGAAGGCCGTGCCAATCTACCAAATCTAGAGCTCGGGGGGAACATGTGGTGACTTTAGCCCGGCTGGTCACCTGTGGAACAAAGAAAAGAACTCGGGGGGACATGTTGGCCCATGCCTCCCGCTCCCGGGCAATTTCGCGATCGTCTGACATCGATTGCTGTTGAGGCAAGCAGGGGTGGACCACTGGAATTCCTAAATCGGGCCTTGAGAGAACCACTGGAATTCCTAAATAGGCCTTGCAGAGATACAGTAATAGGACGGAGACGCAAACATGATCGCTCACGGTCGGGCGCGGATCCCAAATCGTGGAGCGGAGGGCAAATGCAACATCGCGGATGGGCTAGCACGCCCAAATTTGACTTGTTGTCGGCGCACGGCCCGATGCGACTGGCACCGTCCAGGCAACCGTGCGCCCGCGCACGGCCCGATGCGGCTGCCCAAGTGGCAGGCATCCGTGTGCAGTCTATTCGGTTTGTCGTTCACCTGCCCCCCACTGGCCAAAATATTCCCGACCAAGGCATTCATTCATTCTGTTCTCTTCTTGGACACGTAATCGCCGGGAGGTCTGGACCAAAGGGTTCTCGACCAGAGGATCTAGCTATCTTTCCCTGGTTATGTAGCTTAGCGCTGTAGCTGATCAGTGATCAGTCCTTCATCCGTTGTTGTCTGGGGTGGGTTGCGGAGCCTGCGCCGCTTCGTGGCCCCACGAGGAGCTCCGCGTTGCGTCCGCGCGCCGCCGCATTCAAGTTAGCACGATATTCGACAGCGTTGTGGCCCCATGCGGAGATTCATTTCAGGGCCCAGTAGCTGCGTCAGCATGCCGCCCATCATCGTTATGGCAACCCCCATCACACGTTGCGTGCATTCATGTGTGCAGAACTGTTTTGGGGCATCTCCGTGGTCAAAGATTATTGATTGGCATCTCACTGCGCAGAGTTGGTATCGGACACGTTTATGTGCAGAGTTGTTTGGGGCACGTTTGCGCGCGCAGGTCTCGGGCATTTCGATTCGCAGGGGTTCTCAAAGCGGTTGCGTGCCCTCGCGGCGCGCCAACACTCAGGCAGTGGCATTTCAAGCGCATTGCGTTCCTCACCATTGCGCTCACACCAGAGGATCTTGTGAACATGCATCCAGGCGCTTGCGTTCGAAGCGCGCCTCATTCCCCGCCACTGCGAGCACGACGGAGTTGTTATTACTAACGTAGAGGCGGGCGGATTTGATACGCAAATTGTTCTTCGGGGTCCGTTGAGGGTTGTTCTCGTCATGCTACGCCAGAAGGTTTATCAACATCCAGGCGGTTGCGTTCGAAGCGCGCCTCATTCCTCACCATTGCGAGCACGCCAGAGGATGTGTTAACACAGGGGCGGGTGCATTTGGGCCCAAACTAATCCTCGGTGTTCGCGGAGGGCTTTTTCAGCATACCATCGTAGCCTCCTCTTCTTCCTCCCCATCCTCCTCCTCCACCTTAGCCTCACTATAGCACCAAAGGCGCTGGACATTTCATGAAGGGGGGGAATCAAGATTCGTCGTAAAATGTCCAGCGCCTCCCTCTGCCTTCCCGTCCTGAACCATCGTAGCCTCCTCTTCTTCTTCCTCCTCGTCCCCCTCCTCCATCTTAGCCCCACTATAGACTAGAACACCAATGGCGCCGGACATTATATGGGGGAATGCAAGATTCGTCGTAAAATGTCCAGCGCCTCCCTCTGCCGCTGCCTTACCGTCCTGAACCATCGTAGCCTCCTCTTGTTCATCCTCATCCTCCTCCTTCACCTTAGCCCCACTATAACACCAAAGGCGCCAGACATTATGCGACGAACATGGGGGAATGCAAGATTCGTCGTGAAATG